TATATATTAAATTGTACTACGAAATTATCATATTAATAAAGAGCGAAGACATTATGAAAATATAAAATATTGTAAAGAAAACACAAAAGTGAATTTTTAATTTAGCGAAAAAATAATATTTAAAATAAATATTTAGATAAATCAGAGAATGGAAATTCGATCATATTTATTTTTAATTTATTCTTTAACATTAAAATTAGTTTTAATTCACTTTTATGTATTAAAAACTCAATAATAATTCGTCTTTTTTCGTGCAAAAAAAAACATTTTATCTATTTTCCATCCTACAATTTAGTGATTACTTTGATGTTGCAAAGTTGAAAGTGTCATTTGACGTTGGAAAATGTTAGAAAAAGAATAGTATATTTCACGAGTTTTCTACTTGAAAATATTTTCTTTCTCTCTTATTACTTCCCCCTTTTCTTAACCTCTTATTTTAGTTGAGTTTATTCGTTGAAATGAATATTAATACATGAAATTTGATATTGTAACCATTTTTATATCTAAATAAATAATTCTGTATTCAAATTTTTTGGAAATAATATCAAATTATGATTAATTTTGATAATTTAATTGATTTATTTATGAAATTTATTTGTATTTTTATTGCTATTTTTATTCACTTTTTTTTTATTAATCCAGAAAAGTTAATTTATAAGAAAACGAAATAAATTTTACGTATACAGTAAATATTTTTAAAGAGATTTATTTTTTTTATTGATTTTGTAATTATTTAAAAACTTTATAAATATATTTATTTGAATTATATTAACTAAAGTTTAAATAATACACTCTTCCAATAACTTCCACCCTTCAATAACTGCACCCTCTAAACGGCGGCCATTTTTTTTCCTAGAAAAGTTTCCTTTTCAAATTCATACAAGATAACCTCCAAACAACGGCCATTTTTTTATGTTCCCGTCAGTGGCCGTTGTATAGAGGTTTACTATAATTACATTTTTTTCCTTTATAGTCAATTACTTTTTAAACATATAAAGTTTAAAAAGTAATTGACTATAAAGGAAAAAAATATAATAAAATATCATATTTATAATGAGAAAATATATATAATTCATAATTTATAAATGTATTGTTATAATAATGAAATAAATTAAAATAAAACATATTTAATAATTTATATATTGTAGAACTCACAGAATTTACTTATTTTATTTAATATATTACTTCAAAATAATTCTTAATATGAATCAATAAACATCTAACAGTTAAACTTTGATTTAGCGCCACCATTTGAAATTGGTAATAAATCGTGTATGGCGCTAAATCGAAGTATTACCAAAACTAAGAATTGTGAGTAATAATAAGGCTCATATACAAGTTAATTTCGTGATAACAATGCTATTTGCGACGCAAAATCGTGCATTTAGTAATTCGCTGTTACTGAAGCTTTCATTATTTAACACTGAAGATCTGTTTACAACCTTGCTATAGCGTTTCCTAAACAACATCCTCTCAAAGCACCAATGAATATTTCTAATATTCATCGGTGTTTTGAGAGGATGTTGCTTTTGAATATTTCCCTCATATATATTAATATTTACGGCGAAGTCCCATTTACAAGCTTTAAGAAAATGGTGCTATTTATGAAACACTACTGTATATCGAAATTTGACTGTAGTTGTGAACAGATTTCTTGTACAAATATTAAATAATAAAACCTTTAGCATCTGCGAAAATTATTAAATGCACGATTTTTCATTATAAATAACAGTGTTATAACCAAATTATGTGATTTTCACACTTCCACACTCGATTTAGGCGAATTTCAAGGCGAACAAATGGCGCTAAGTCGAAATTTAACTGTAATTGTATTATTAAAATTTTATTAATTACTTCTCCTAAGCTATGTTTTAATTCAACACTCTTTAACAATTTTACCCTCTTAAAATGTTACATTATTAATTATTAGAAATATCATATTTCTGTATAAAAAATTATTTATAAAAGTTATTATGTTTACTATTATTTTTCTCGTAATAAGATAAATATATACACATAATGCATAAGAACAATTTTTCCTGCACGAAGAAAGCATAGCAACAAACCATATTTAATTCAGATAAATGTTAACGTGTCCAGCATTGCTTATGATAAACTACGGTTACTTTATTTTCTTTATTCCCTCTACGTGACATAGATCTAACGCGATGATAATAGTAACATAATAAATAGTTTAACATCATTACATTAATTACTTAATTCTACTTAAACGTAACGTATCTTAGTTTATAGAAATGAAGATTAAATTAAAATAACGACAGTCATATTTTTTAATTAACTGACCTCATAGAATATTTCATCTGTCCATCACTCCTAAGACGTACGAACTTATTGGGGACGGTTACTTTATGAAGATAGGAGTATCTACCATTTAGAAAATATGTATCCGGTGTCCACACTTTCTGAAGGAACTTCCAATCCAGAGATAATATATCAAGATCTAAAGTTTGAAATTTTAATCTTGGATCCCACCATGTTTGTCGGAAGTAGCAGTCCATCGAATAAATCTATATATTTAATTGTAAAAAAATAGAAAATCTAAGCAAAAATTGTATAGTTTTTATGTACTGAAATTGTCACAATGCTGAGCTTCAAATTTCAATCATTTTTTTAATTTATTAAAATTAAAATATATGCTTTCGATCTCAAATTAGTAGGGTCTTGCCCCTGTACATCATACTTTTCCTGATAACAACAGAGTCATGCCGGTTATCTATGTAACTACATTCTGGGGAAATATTTTTGCATTTAAGTCATGGACGTTCGTATATAGTTAATAGGAGCCTCCTGCCATAAGCTTTCTATATCTGGTATTGACTTTCATTTATCTAACACCGTTCTCGAGATTAAGGAAGAACACATAACAAACAGACGACAGTGAGAATTTATGGGTCTACAGTTTTTTCAAATTGCAGTCCAAATGTGCTTTTATATACGTGTAGGATATAATTCACAATTTAACTTAGTATTAGGCACAGAATATTTTTAACACAATTGCAAAAGTTAGTAGTGACCATAACTCATCACGTGTCGTATCTGTGTAATATTACGAATAGAACAATTAAATTATTTTCGGAGTTATTTAATTTAATCGGGTGACAAGGTCAAAATCTGTCTAACTGATTTATTATTTTCGCTTTTAATTTATCATGAAGATTGATACATAACAATATAATAGGATTACCATTTATTTTAGTGCTTTTTGGAACGATTCATAAACGGCATTTAATTATTAATGCATTAATGAAATTAGAATTTTTGGAAATTAGATATGAAAATTAATAAAATAAACAGATTAGAGATTTATTTATAAATATGATCATTAGAGATTTATTTATAAATCTCTAATGATCATATTTCATTAATTAATTTGAATTTTACATAGAGATATATATGATCCATAACATCGAACTCTCAGTCTCGATTCTTCAAAACTGCATGGAAGTTAATTTTACTTACATTTATAATATTGTTATATTTATCTAAAGTTATTCTGCTAACAATAAATAATATAAATAGTTCGTTTAACTCAAAAATTATTTTGAATTTTATTAAATTTAATTAAAAATGCTTTCATATGATTTGGTTTAGTTTTGATGGGTCGGCAACGCAACACATATTAATAGATGATCTACCAAGGGGGATGACAAACGGGAGAACTTTCTATAGAAAACTAGTCCTTATTTATGTGTTAAGCTGTAAGAGCTTGTATAGGGCCTGGGAATAGAGCGAGATCTTTTAGCCGTTTATTTTTTGAACAAAGGAAATACATATTATAATGTTTCTCTATTCATAAAAAGAAACTTTAAAGATTTTATTTTTTTATTAATAAAAATAACTTCAATTTTATAGGGTTTGAAATCGCTATAAGCCAGTTTATCCCAACCTTTTTTGTGCTATGCTCCACCTAAGCCTTTCTAAAATTCTTATGCCCCCCCAATCATTTATAGCAGCTATACGGTTAACTTAAACTCTAGACGAGTCCATTTTCAAATTGCCCCCCTTAACGACCCAATTGCCCTCTTGTGGGGTGTGGGCCTCACGTTGGGAAACACTGCTATAAGCCCTACATTTTTTCCGGTGGAAAAAATCCCCAGTTCTTCCTCTCGACACGTGAAGAAAATCCAGAAAAATTCATGTGACCAGCCTTTTAGTCAGGTACGAACCCACGACCAACTATCTACTGTCCAGTTTTGTCTACTCGCCTATGATGGGCAATGTTTTCAAATACTATTCTATAAATTATGTTTATTATTTTTTTAATTATAATTCTTAACTTAATATAATTATAACTTCTAAAAATAGAATTTTTAATTAAATAAATAAGATATTTAAATTGTTTATTATTAAATCAAATGTTATTGTTATATTTGATTTATTTTTAATGAATTCTAGATTAATCCTGTTCCTGTTTTATTATATTTTAATAGAACAATAACGATAAATATAATAAAGAAAAAAAAATATTTTGGAATTTGATTTACTTTTATAAGCAATAAATAAAGTTTTTTTTTTAACACTTGAAATACGGTATGACGAAACGATTTTAATAAAATTTCGGATGGTGTCGAGAAACGTTCTATTGAAACCGTTGGAATTGATCTAAAACCTTTATCAAATGTCCAAATGTAACACAAGTCAAAGACGTAACGTCTATATAAATGATATAAAGTGTCAATGAAAGTAAGTGATGAGTTTTATTAGAAGCAGCGACTCTAGAAATTGAAAAGTATAACAATGTTTCTAGAATTTCTATTAAACCTCAACGGAATAAATACATAAAAAAGAATGTATATAATATTAAATCAATTTAATGGTAAAGATCTTCAAAATTGTATTTTATGAATTAGTAATTTCTGTTAAAGATTCTTGTAACTTTATATTTTCAAAATGATTAAATTCCCGATTTTTAAGGAAAAATATAATCTTTTTGTATATTTAAAGATCTTATTGTCAACTAATTAGTTTCATTAGAAGTCGCTTATTGCAATCACCTGCACTTATAATACGTGTAACGGGGGTGAGTAAACGAGACTACAATTAATAGAAATTCTGATATTATAAAGAGGTGTTAGAACAATTTTTAAATATATAATATGAAGATTTACTAATTATAATGATTATTATTAATTAATACAATGTACTTCAACAGTCTCCATACATAAGAAACCGGATTGGTTGCCATGGTAGGATGAACCTTCAGTCCTATTAATGTGTAATGTATAAAGATACCAAGCATGTACATATGTACGAATGCATGTACACGTTCTTTTTATAAGAGATTATTTCCTCCTTTAACTATTGAGAAGCCTTTTGAATCTATATACAGTGATTCAACCATCGTAATTGAAGTAAGAAATGGTCAGTAACTACTGTATTAATTAAAATAATCAACAGTTAATACTTAAAGCACTGGTTAAGACTGTTAACAATTGTAAGTTATTAGTCACACGTTGAGGCAGATAAACCAAAAGAACAACTTCAAAATACCTATTTACCTGAAGATAAAGATAATAACCTAGCTCTGATTACAGTAAGCGAAGTACTGTATATTTTAAGTTTTCTATTTTGAATAGGCACATTTCGAGAACATCAAATGATCGATAACAATATTTATGTTACTTAAAATTACTGAGATTATTGCTTCTTAATTTTTAAAGTTGAAGTCTCATTATTCAAATATAATTGATAGGCAAGAAGGAACGACGAACCAACGATTGAAAAACAGAATTCTTCGAGCAATTAAAGATTTTCTACACAGAAAATCGATTAAATTATTCTTTACACTTTAAACTAATAGAATTTTACCGACTAAATTATATTTTCATATGATTTAATAAATCATTTTATACGAAAATATAATTTAGTTGAGGAAATTCTATTATTTAAGGTTTACAAAAAATAATTTTTTTAAAAAAAAAAAACTTAATTTTATGAAATTCAATTTCCATAACCTAACACCAAATCTTAAAATGATTATTTTGGGAATAAAATACGAAAAAATGGCCCGTCAAGAATAGTTATTTAAGCAATAAATGTTACGAAAGAAATTGAAATTGTAATGTTATTATATAATAAAAAAATGGCGTGAGTAACACTTAATAAAATAACGTGGCGTGAATAGAACCATACTCTACAATTGTAGTTATCAATGAAAACACGAGATGTCACGTATACCAAAATATTTTATTAAAACTTTTTTTTTTAAGTTTATAAAACTATTGAATAAAACTATTTTATTATTGCCATTACGATTACTTTAAAAATTTAATGTTAAATTTAATTTATATTCATATTTTGAATTAATTATAATTAAAAATTATTATTATTTTTTACAGTTATATTAAAAATTGTTTGTAAGATAAAAATTACACCGAAACAGGAAAGAAAAGGTTAATAAATACTAATGATTCCTACGAAGATGCTATTAATGAAAAAAAAATAAAACCGAAAAAATAAATAAATTATAATATCGATATCAATATAACGTGATTATCAAGAAAAACTAAATATTCACTTAATGGCAGAGTTGAATTATCATAGAATTGTAGAATAAGCCTATAATATTTTCTATTTTATGATGATTCTATACTGTTATTATGTAAATTCTAAACTCTGCTATTATGTAAATTCATCACAGAATGCAAACTATTTGATGAACGAAGTTTATCGTAGAATTTGTATTCATTCACCTACAATATTATTATAAAATCTTCCTCTACATCACTAGAATTTCTATATTTCTTGTATCATTAACAACTTTCTATAAATACTTGATCTAGCATGTTTACTATTGGCATCATCACATATCTTTTATATAATAATTACATGTATGAAAAATAAAATTTACTTAGTGTAAATTATACTTCCTAATAAAGATATTATTATTTATTTAACTAATGTATAAAAAAACTAATTATTCATTACTCATTTTAAAAGAGGAAAAAGTATTGTACTCAGTCAAATTTGAACCCTCAGAATTGTTTGATTTCTCGAAATTTAAAGGCCCCCGATTAAAAAAAAAAACGAAAAAAGTAAGAATATTCTATATGTATGTAGATGTGTACAGTACGTGTATGTGCTGTGTATTGACCTGTATTTTGCTTTATATCTGAAGACTTCGTGTACTAAAGATTTTTAAATTTGGCAAGACGACTTCTGTATATGGGGCATTGATGCTATTATATTTTTAAGCTAGAGTAAGTCGTGCAAAAGCCTTGCTAACTTTAATAAGCAATTATTAAATTTAAATGTAGTGTTCTCGTTTGATATAGAATACATTCTCCGATGTTGATAGTGATGCTTACAAATATAAGCATAAATAATAAAAAGCTGTTTATAAAGTTTTATCAAATTGAGTAATATTGTTGTCTCAAATAAATTTTTTTTTTCATTTTATTCTCTATAAAATTACATTCAACACGAATAAATTCTCAGTTTGGCGATGACGTATGTTCAGAATTGGATAAATTACACTTGTCAGGATGCAATTTGAATTCCATTTTAT